GCGCCGACCTACCGTCGGCTAGCGCGAGTTCCCTCAACCAGGTATCTCCCACCTGCGGATAACCTCCCCAGCCGGGACAAGATCTTAGCTCCGGACGGGTCTCCCGTCATGTGTGGTAGTGTAGTGCATGTAAGTGTAAGTGTGTGTTAGGGGTGAGGATAGGACAAGAAAGAGAAAGGAAAGATAGGGCACGGACCGAGGCCCGTTGGATAGGGTACTTAATTTGTCTGGTGTTGATCGGAAAAAGCTCGGAAAATTTCCAATCAGAGCAGCCGACCGCTAGAATTATCTTGTAGACGCGACATAATGCGACCTAAATACCTGGCTAGTGTCGAAAATCTCGCCATCGTCTGGACTTGAACCCCAGGACCTCCTGGTCAGATGCACTGCAATGATATCAGTTGAGGCAGAGCGCCATCTCTTCCTTTGACGAATACCATTTACTAACTGAGAAATACCTGCGCTTCCTTGGTTAATGTGTTTTGAGGAAACCTGCGCTTCCTTGGTGAAGGCGTATCGAGGATTACCTGCGCTTCCTTGGTGAATATGCATTTATGATTACCTGCGCTTCTTTGGTGAAGGGTGTTGAGGATTACCTGCTCTACCTTGGCGAATGTGTATTGAGGATTACCTGCTCTTCCTTGGTGAAGGTGTATTGAGAATTGCCTGTGCTTCCTTGGCGAATGTGCATTGAGGATTACCTGCGCTTCCTTGGTGAAGGCTTATCGAGGATTACCTGCGCTTCCTTGGTGAAGAGACGCGACTCGGCCACCAGGCTCGCCCATTCGCCCTCGCCGCCAGCGGGCAGCACCTTCACCAGCACGCGGTGCTCCTCCCCCGCCGCCCCCTCGCCATCACCGCCCCCAGCCCCCGCGGTGGTCGCCGCCACGCGGTACAGGCTGCTGCAGTAGTTTTCGCCCGCTCCTAGCGCCGGCGCTACCTGCGCAACAACACGTGACCGCCGTCGCCTCCGCCGCTAGGAGGCTCACGCAAGCTTCCAAACTGAAATACGTCGCGACTGGGCCGCCCGGCTGGAGCGATAACCCGCTTTTGGAAGATACTTAAACGGGGATGTCTCCCCCCCCCAAGCTTTTGAAATCATATTTTTTTTTGTATTCCAGCATTATAAAAGAACCTTTTCGTTACAAGAAATCGTTCATATCGGGCATTTTACGGCGCAAATGATGACGTATTAGATTTTATGTCACGAATGATTGCGTCAGCACACATTCAGCCAATCGTAGCGAGAGAATCGGGGGGAGGTAGAGCTAAACGGAACAGCCGACCAACGTTTACTCCCACGATGTCAAATAACCGGGTCGTCACAGGGAAGCAGTTTCGGAAACTTTTGTTTTTAGATTCTCTTATTAGTGTATAAGTGCATTGCACTCACTTATAAGTGTATTGTACTCGCTCTAAAGTCGCTTGTTTTCAAAACATGTTCTCGTGCAATAAAGCTTAACATTATAAACTAATTGAATAAACTACTATTGGTACACGTTTCGAGGTATATTTAACCTCATCATCACGTTGCATTAAAACATACGCATTCTTAATAAATGCGATATCACATCATATTTTTGGCATATTAATCATATAAAGAAGAAATCCAAATTAATAATATAAAGAAGAAATGCATATTAGTAAAACTCTTAATACATGATATCAATTCACTCACGTGATCTAATATATCAGGATACATTCAGGAATAATTCTGTGTGGTATGTGTTCCAGTGAGTGTATAATTGACTATATTTTGAGAAGACCATTTTCAACGAGATAGTACCACGAGAAGGTTCAGGCAATTGAAAATTGTAGGCTAACATTAGCATTGGCACAATTATAGCAGATATAAAAAATAATTTATACAAATATATTCTTGGAATATTGGAGTTCTAGTCATTTATGTAAACTTCATTCTATTCCATACAATTAGACCACTATCATAAATAAAAGGACATGAATAACTAAACTATAATGTTATACTATAAACACAATCAATTACTATATATATATATATATATATATATATATATTATAATATTGTAAACGGTAACAAGCTCCTGCGTTGGAAAATGTACATGAAAAAAAAGAAAAAATTAGCAGACGGCCCGCGACGCCTGCGGAGGAAAGGGGATCGTAGGCATTCGCCCGTTTCGTCTATGAGCGAGGTTCTATAAACGTTATGCAGACATGCCCCCGCGCCAATATGTCAAGTTGTGTGCCCGTATTCAAGCGAACCGCTCATCAAAATGAACCCCAAGCTGAGTCGCCTCCTCGGGGGGGGGTAATTTACAACTCAACGGTCACGGCGCACGTGCGAAAAAAAAAGCGATTAGGTTTTTTACAACGAAACGGACATTCTGCCGTTAAGAAAGAGTATCCGCTGTGATTTGTCAGACACACGCCTCCACCCTGCTCCGGGAAATTCAACCCAGCGTAATGGCAGGATACACGTTTTTTTGGGGAGGGCTGACCGAGATTTGATGGTTACTAGGCACGCTCGGTAAGCACTTGATGCTTGGAGACGGCCGCGGAGTAGTCGATTCGACTGGATGGCTGGAGACGACCGCGGAGGTCGATTAGACTTCTGTGTTGGAGTGACGACCGGGAGTGGTTCGATTCGACTGTGTGCGCTTGAAAACGGCCACGGAAGTCCACTCGATGTTTTTGACTCGGCCATAGAAACCAGTGATTTCACATCTGCGATTCGATAGTTTCGGTCACGCATTATTGATTTCGATTGCTGCAGTCAATCAGTCAAGCAAATTCGAAGCATATTGCGGAGGGAAGTTGTTTAACTTCCATTCATCGCCGATGATCATCGTGGCTGCCTGAGGTTGGAGACGCCGATTGGAGTAGTGAGCCCCGCGGTAAGCGCGGCGACATCAACGGCCACGCTGGGAGCCCCTGTGTTCACCGCCTCTGCCTGAAAGGGGGCGGCCCGAAAAGAGACGGCGGGCGACAACACCTTGCGTGCAAAGAGGCCAACAGAAACGAGGGTAAATAATCCGCTTGGCTCCCGCATAAATGCGGTCGAACACTTACTGAGCGAAGCGAGGGGGTGAAAAGGGTATCTTCAGAACAAAGTAACCATGACGACCCATTGTTTTTTTTAATTGTATTAATTTAAATAGATGACCATGTCATAATAAAAGAAAGGGTCGTTTTATAGTTTTATTAAAAATTGTAAAATCATTGTAATTCATCATCATCATCATCAATTATTTTTAAGTAAATATTTGTTAACGCAAATGTTTTTGACAATTATTATTGAAATTCCCATTCCCGTTCCAGACAGACGCAGAGACGCGTATGGGGTTACAATATATATATATATATATATATATATATATATATATATATAAATTCAACTATATAGTACTTACAATGATCAAAATCTATCAAGTTTCCCATCAAAAACCTATCTGCCTATATTATAGTATGTACACCATTCTTAGTACTTCATTGTTATGCACTAGACACAAGAGCAACGAGGCCGAAAGCTGGCGTGTATGTCGGCACCGAATGTAGTTATTCAGCGAAGGAAGATCACCTCCGCCTCCAGAGATAAAAAACGCTACACTTACGGGAATAACGACCTCCGTTGTTAACGCACCCGGAATCACTAACAATTAATCACCGAAAAGCTAGACCGGACTAAAGAGATAGGACTAGAACGAGCAAGTACGTGACATTTTCTAGAACGACTAGTTACTTTCGCGCATACTACTTAAACAGTTTGAAGTATTATAATGCTGCAACAAAAAACAGCAACTTTTCGTCAAAAATCATTTTGTGGTACCTGATACTGAAAAAGTGGATAATTATTGTTCCTATATGTAGTAATTTATTTTCGCTAACACCTTGTCGAGTCGGAACCCATGTTTTGTAGGAATACTAAACAATTGGTTTAAGACAAAAGTATGTGTGGCTGTCTGTTCTAAATAACACTAGCGACTAAACCATAGGCAGGATTTCAACAACAAAAAATTCGTACTGGAACCATTTCCAATCCATCTTACCGATGTCGCAGTCCCTTGAATTTGAAACGGATATTATGATTTTGGGGGCTACATTACAGGAAACCTTATTAACATTTTCAAAAATTTCTAAACAATGGCTTCAACGTTTTTCTTTCATTTTTTCTCAGATAGAGCAAACGGCGTTAAAAAATAAAGCAGGTCGCATTCACGTTGAAATCTGAACTATTAAAACTTGCAAAAGTTAATATTTTTTGGCATAATCCTGCAATTGATATTAAAGGTATTTTTAAAGAAATCTGTTATTAAAACATTGGCGATAGGATGAGCAGAAAACGGTGACGTTTTGACCTTCTGGTCAAAGTAGAGAGTAGTATTCACTTTCGCCTTCCTATCTCGCGGCGGCGTTCAATTTTCACTATATTATGCTTGTAAACAACTACTGTAAAGGAATGATTGGCTTTGTTAAATGATAAACACTCCGGTACTCGCGGAGTAAACAGGGTTTACTCGCGTGGAGTATCCGTAAGACCTAGTTTTATGCAACTAAAATAAAACATAAGAAAAACAGGAGAGACAACACGTTTTGTCATCAGCTGATGCCCTGAGTCACCTCATTGGTTAAAAACATTTCCACATCAACTGAGATAATAACAGTTACGGGTAATGGAAGTCTTGTAGTTGGTGTGGCATATCTTATTACTATTCCAAGCCCTTCATTTCATAGTTTCCAAATTGTTAGTTCCAATCTGAAAATATAAGGACTGGTTTAGTAACTTCTTTTCATACACCTTTCATAAACAGTGCTTCTTTCTACAAATTTAAAGAAGTTCGCCCCGCGAAATATCCGTAGCCAATCACGTGCCGCGAAAGACTTCCGCGAACTGGCATGCGTTCGACCAACCCACAATTCTTTCACTCGGCGACAAGTCTCCGGCGCAGAAGGAGTGACCTGTGCAGCTCGTGGTGGTTGATAACCGATTCGCGTAGTAAAGTTAGCTCCTGTTAAATGTGCATAGTTCTTTCGGTGAATGTTGGGTGCGATTACCAGCGATTACTTTGTGCGACTTTTTAGAATTTAACTTTAAACGTTATTAGTTGCTCAGATGGCTCAACGATTTTAGTGAAACTTTGTTCGGTGCAAAATTCGGAAAGTGAAAGTGAATTGGTGTGCTGTAATGTAGATTGGCGTATAAATTATCTCGAACACAAACTCTAAATTGCATTTCGAACAAAAATTCAAGTGCGCCATACGCGTAAATGTGTTGTGAATTTAAGCTCAAAGTGACTACACTTTAAAACATGTGGAGTTCGCGATCATAAAATCTAAAAGTAGGTAAATCAAATTTGCAACAAATCTTTTGGTGTAAAATGAAACTTTACTTCGAGGATAATTCAAATTCGTTTTGTGCATTAGTAGTAATTGATTTGAAAAGGAGCTGGAAGTGATTTTACGAATCAGTTAAGTTTGTGTAAAAATTTTATGGAAATGGAGGAGTGCTTCGCGAAACTGTTGGAGGGACATCGGCTTCGTCCATCTCCACCTATGCCCGTCTACTTCATCTCGCCCTGTGGCCTGACCAAGGGCAAATGCTGGACTTCAAGGCTTCCTGACCTTCGCTACTCGTCTGTTCTTCTCTTCGATCCTCGATGCAGTTTGTCCCCGCCAAAAGGTTAGCAAACGTCAGGTTTTATTTCAAGAAAGTAAACTAGAACGTGCATTTTTTTGCCCATTCGTTATAAAGTTCAAATTCATTTTATTTCATTTTCTAATGTTCTATATCTCAGTCAACATTTATTGAAGTATATTTCATTTTATGTATGCACGTTTGCACGATTGAAGTTGCAATACAAGTTGAAGGTTACAGCATTCGGTTACAAAGAACATTAAAGTAATATGGGTATTCAAAGTAGTGTATGTAGTTTACTATCAAATCTGGAATTGCTTTATTCCAATTAGGGAAGGGTAGAATGTTGTAAGGAATAACTGATAGGATTATATATCTAATACCGTAAAGAGAAGTGAATAACAATTAAATAGTATAAATAACGTTGTTATTTATACTAGTTCCTATACATAACACGTAAATAGTGAAGTGAAGTTTTCAGAATTGCCGCTGAGTGAGACTAGCTAAACAGAACAGGATACAGAGTAGCAAATTTCAAGTGTAGCTAGAAATGTGAAGTGGACTAGTTAAAATAATACAGTATTAAAGGATATAAAAATTAATCTCAAAACAGAAACCTTAGAAGAATAATTGGGAGAACTAATTTAAGTTTCAATAGAACGAGATCCGATACGATTCAATACTTTCAAAAAATATTCAAAAATGTAAATTGGAATAGTTAGTTGGAATAGTTAGAAGCTACAGTGAAATGCGAGATAAAAGGCGCATTATAGGTTAGGGTCCCTTGGTACAAGAGCGGCACTTTGACCTGTCACCGTTGGAGACTGGATTCGGTGAGTGTTCGAATCAGCGCTTGTTCAATTCCCTTCCCTGTGCCCTTGGCAGCCCTAAAAAGAGCTCCCCACACATTCGGCATTCGCAGAGTAGCGAACTATTTCTCGTCCAATACCTAACAGCTAATGTTCTCGGTAAAAGTCCGCGTCCTTGGCCGTGTCCAAAAGACCGACTCGCGGCCTTAAGGGCGAGCACCGAGCGTTAGTCGCCCGGCAAATGGCAAGCAGCCCATACACACTACTCGAGTCGAGCGGTCGCTTGATACTGCCGAAGGCCGAATGTGTGGTGCCGCCTCAAAGGAGACCGGGACCAACCAGGACTTTTGCGTCGCTCTCCTTCGGGATGACACAGGTGTAACCACAGAAACTGAGATGCGAACGGAACTGATGTAATGGAAACACATTAGCAGAATATTTCATGAGAGAACAGAAGTAATAGGAATATAGAGAAGAGAAGAATACAATAAAACCCTATTGAAATAATACACTGAAATTGGTGTGTAGAAACAAACATAAAATGGAAAACAGAATTAAAGTAAACAATGGGGAAATACGTGATATAGAATTACAATCCTCCATATTGCACATGAACGTGAGGTTGAAGGGTTAATTCTTCCTTACGCAGTCGTTACTTTCTAGAATTGATAGTCGATATACAGTATTTGTCAGCCTTTTGTTATTTATGAAATGTTGTGTTCTTGCAGTCCTGTTGTGTTTACGTGAGCTTGAATTAAATAGACTGAAACAAGTGTGAATTTAAATTTTTTAAAATGATCGGATGATTGAGGTCGTTGGTAGAAAAATGTTACATTTAACATTAATGTAAACATTAATTATTTGAATTTCTTATTGAATGTTAATTCATATTATTTATTTATTGCAATAAAAATGAAATTAAAATTAGAGGACTTGAAATTATAAGTCAGAAGTACGTAATTAGGAGGGGCAAAATTAGGAAATAGGCTGTAGATTCAAATGTTACGGCGGTTTTGTTTCACCTTATTAACGACTTGCAACTAAGCTACGTTCCCACTAATGTGTACGGCATGCAATCAGTCACAGAGATGCATTATCTGCGCCACGACTCGGTCAGTTGTGCTGACGTTTCGGCCATCGGCCATTTTGACCGAGACGCGGCTTATCCCGGATAGCCAAGAATGTATTGACACCGGCCGCGGAAGCCTACGAACGCAGTCATAGAGATTCTGAACAACTTTGCCGAAATGACAGCCGCGAAATCTCATGGCGTCATCTCACTATTTCATATAGTTCCCAAATTGCAAGTGGTCAATGGCCTAGGTTGTCGTTGAAGAGCTGGGGTCACTGCTCAATTGTCGATTCAGGAGGGGCGGGACGGCCAATGACTCACGGGGCAGTGTGGGTAAGATAAGCAAAGTATTTCAGTCTTTTTTGTTGTTTTTTTACAAAAACGTACTGTTTCTAGAAATAGCTTCAAACTTATAATAAAAACAATTTTCTTTATAAGAAGTTGCTCAATAACATTAAACACAATTGGAATAAATCTTCTCATGTGAAGGAAGCGTGTTAGTCTGCCTATCGTTCAGTCTTACTTCACTGAAGAATTTAGTTGGCGAGCAGCACAGTTCGAACAGCTTGAAACGTTGTTGATAAAACACGAAGTATTGTTTGTAAATGTTTACATGCTTTCTTTCTCAAACAAATAATATAGGAAAAATGTCTTTATGGCATTCACCCCTTGGGAAGTTTTTTAGAATCTAGTATGCAGTAAAACATTCTAAGATTCTTAGGACCATGCATTTACAGAACAAAAATGCATGTTTCTAAACAGTGTGCTTCTAATGTTTCTAGCACTCAGTTACGTCACAATATTGTTAATCAAAGTCAATAGTCTATGAACATTAATTTATTACTTCTATTTGTTTTTGAACGTTTAACGTGTTTATTTTTAGTATTAATCATATTTCTCATTAAAATAGAAAATAAAATTCATTTCGAATTTCAAATATAAAATTTAAGTATTTATTTACAACTAATAAGATACTTACATCCACCACAACAATTATAAGTTACAGTTTACCTATTTTCTGATCTTCTGGTAATCTCACCTAAAATTAAATGTAATAATAATAATAATAATAATAATAATAATAATAATAATAATAATAATAATAATAATAATCCTGCAAATTTACTATTATTAAGGTCGGGATATTGGTCAGAACCTTTTAGAGCTTCCGTAGGTGCGGCATAGAAGAAGAATCCTGAAGGGAACTCCTCTGAAGCCGGTGTATTAGTCGGCGCGGTATTTCTTCACCCAAGAGGGAAAGAAACACCCCCTCTTCTTGGAATAATAGTCAGAGCAGTGGACGTCGTAACCACAATTCTAAGCGGTGGCGGTTAGCGTATCGGTTATATCCAAGTTCGCGGGTTCACACTTCCGGATTTTTAAGGGCGAAAAAATCCTTCGCACGCCTTCCTTCGGAGGGGAAGTATAGCCAGCTATCCCATGTTAGTAGATTTACTTGCATGTAAAATATCCTCAAGCCTAAATGACGCCTCTGAGCTAAATTCAAATCGCCTGTTTCTCGCCCAAGAAATACCTTCCCTCAGGGCTAGTGGGTGAAAGGAGCGTAGCGAAATTTACGTGGCCAGACGGAAGAACGGGCCTGGTGACCGGAGTCTCGCCACGTAAAATAAGGCAACAATTGAATTCAATCAGTGAATGAAGGCCTACCTGTCCATTAATAATTAATAATCGTGAAGTTAAATGTCTTTCAGATGACACCCCTGTTAAGTATCTTGGCCTATGAATAGGTACTACATTTAACTGGTTATATAATAGGTTAAATTTAACCCACGTAATATCAGTAGGAAATAACACACACATAAAAATATTAAAATTGTATCCATTCATAAATAGAAAATCTAAATTATCAATAGACTCAACATTAATAATATTAAAATACATTATTCGACCTTCACTGACCTACGCCTGCCCAATATGGGAAGGTTCCGCTAAAAGCATTGTCTCTGGAAGTACTGAGAAATAAATTCTTAAGATGTGTTTTAAAAGCTCCATGGTATATCAGAAATGATCAAATTTTAAAAGAATTATCTATAGAACCTCTTAAAACTTAGATTCTTAAACTCTCTTGAAACTTGTACTTCTCTCTTCCATCCTGCCCACCCACTCGTACTTGTACACACTAGGTATATCAGTAAATATTTTTTCAAGAATAAAATCAAGATATTCATAAGATCTACTACATCCTTCTTAAATAGCTTTAAAATAGGTTCAAACATTCCTCAATTCAAATGTATTTGTAAATCAAATATTTTATGTATTTGTCTGAAGAAATCTTCCTGGATAACTTTAGTAATCAGTTTAATATTGTACACATATGATGAAATGTAGTTAAAATGTATACTATGTAATTTAAAAACTCTTGAAAGATATAACTGTCGATCAAGGAAAATAAAATTATTTTTTTAAAAAAAGGAGAGTTGCTTGTGGTATAGGGAGAGGTGAGGGGGGACATGATGGCGAGGAGGAGAGGGAGGTATTCAATTTCATTTGTAATTCAAATATTTTATGTACTTTTCTGAAGGACTCTTCCTGGATAACTTTAGTAAATAGTTTTAGATATTGTACACATATGATGAAATGTAGTTAAAAACTACTATGTATAACATGTTAACTAAAAACCCATGAAAGAATAACTTTGTACGGATCTAAGCTTAAAAATATTTGTTCTTGAAAAGGGCGTTTTGCTGGAGAGGGTGGGAGGAGGATAGGTGGGGGGCGAAGGAGGAGAGGTGGAGTGGGGACGGAGGAAGGCAGTGATCGGGTGAGAAGAGGAAGGGAGGGAAGGGTGAGGGTGGGCCTCCTGCAGCGCGGCGAGGGACCTCCGAGGTGGGCGTTTTGCGGTACGCGTAGCCGCAGGGCCGTCCGCACGAACGCCTTGTCCAGCCACGACGGCGTCTGTGCCTGCTCGCCCATCTGCTCACCAACAGCATCACATTACAACAAGATATTACACTCCGGTTTAACCTCTGTTCTATAACGGTTAAAACGATCCCAAGCCGCGAAAAAGGCGCATGGTGACAGGGTAGTGGTGTGCATTTATTTGGAGAAAATTACAATTTATTGTTCACAGAAATAAAAAATAAGTTTCCTAGAATGTTAACGTTGATTAATTTCACGAAAAACTAGTTCTGCTACGGAATGGCACAAACTTTACCGTATTAGGTTTCTATTTTCTTTGGTCTCGGCTGGCTACACGAACTCACCATATATTTCCAACTGCAATTTATCGCCGCCCAAAGAATTTATTTTTTTTTGGAATTTTCTTCATTTTTAAGTTTTCTAATAACAGAACGGAAATGTAATTTTAACAACATTGAAGAACCGTAAACCATGACCTAAATAGCAATTTTCTTTGAAAAATTTGGAGCCGTTTTTGAGAAAATGGCGCTCAAGCGCTACAGCAAATTCGAAATTGAAGCACTTTACCACAGACAAATTTTAGCTTTCGAAAAACTTCATTTGAAATAATTTGAAGCACTTTAACTAACAAATACAATAGTATTTCCAAATTGCTGGAAATGTACATATTACAGGCGTGAGAGCTTAAAAAATAAATAAAAAATACATTTGTGAATTTTTGAAAAACACTAAATTTTCTGAAATGAACTGTACCTCATATTAAAGAGTGCAATTAGCACTAACTTTTCGAAAATTTTGAATTAAAAAAATTGGAGCAGTTTCTGAGAAAATGGCGTTTGAGCGTTTCTGAAATTGCGAAATTTTGAACTACTTTTGACGAAAAATGGTTGAGTTTTCGAGAAGCTTTATCTGACATATAAATTTCCCCGAAAGTTGAAGAGCTTCGACTCAGATCAAATGGACAAGGGTTTCTTCAATTTGAAAAAAATCCTATGCATGGTTTAGGTTGTTCACATACACCATAGAACGAACGGACGTTTTGGAGGAGGGAAAAAAAATTTGGGGGACACCCAAACGTGTGTTTCGGATGAATTCTTGAAATAAGTTCCCCGCAGCATAGTATAATTTTTCCTATTTAACGTATATTACTCCTTATATATGTACGTATACGAGAAAGTAAAGTAAAATTGAGTTTGGTCAAAAAGACCCGACGTTGTAGTATGTCATGGCGTTTCTCGTTGTCGACCAAAGGTTCGATACAGCTCCCCCCTTTTACCGCCTTGTGTTGAAGTCTGCGTTCCCTCTACGTTTTCGTGCGAGGCCTTGAGGCGACACGTTGAAAAAAATCGAAGTATAACGTTGCACCCGGCCTACTCATGGCCTTTTTTTTTTATTCGAGAAAAAATGGTTGTGCGATCTACCAGCCAGTTAAAGAACATCGGCCTTACTTCTCTAATAATTTAGTAATTTACTAATTTGTAGTTAGAGTAGGTTCACAATGTTTTATTCAATATGATAATATTCACTTACACTTTTGTGGAATACAAATACGACAGACACGAAGTCTAGCAGAAGCTTTGCAGCTGGAAGCAGCTACTTCAAAGCCGAAAGTACGTAAAATGCGCTGTTGGCCGCTACCAGCCTTCCACCGCCTACCCGTCAACTGAAGATCTGTCTCGAAGTCACGTGTGTAGGTATACTGCGACGCTACATAATATTGCGTAACTGAGTCATGACGTAATCAGTGCGAAGATATCTCGACAGCTTATCGCTCGAAGGAAATTGAAGCGTTCCACGCCAAATCTTGAGTGTTTTTAATTGCCTTC